GACATTTGAAAACGTGCATCTCCAAAAGGCGATGTCTGGAAAAGCTCTCCTTAGAAACTGGTCAGATTTCTTCTATTTTTTTCTAGCCTCATGTCTAGCCACCTCTCAAATACTGTGACCTCCGGCCAGAACTCTCCCCTGGTCCAACACAAGCTGTGCATTTCCACACTGCCTGGAGTGCCAGCACCACAGTTTGCAGGTTGAAACTCAGCATCTCTTAAACGCAGCTCCCCTTCTCTGTCAGGATGTCACCTAGGAGCCCTTCCGTCCCTTTGGTGGGGTTGCTCTTTGCACCATTTTGTCATTTAACATTTCATAGTAGGAAGACGAATTTATAAATTTTTATTACTTCCTATGGACAGCTATATCCTGCGAAGGGCCTTTGTCTGCTGAGGAGCCGGGCGATGCGGCGTGAGAGGTGGTGTCCGTGGCTGAGCGCGCGGACTGGCGTTTTAGCGGCCGCCGTCTCGAAGCCCTGCCGTGTCTCGGACTCGACCACCTGCGTAGTTTTTGTCACGCTACCTCACCTCTGTGCCGCGGTTTCCTCAACTATAAAAGTGTAACTGATAATAATAAAACCGAACCCTTTGGATCCTTCTGGGGAAAAGAAAGGAAGCTGACAGGTCAGCTGTAGATGGCAGCCTCCCCACCCCGGTGTTCATAGCAGATCAAGGGGATGGTTGTGAAGAGAAGTCAGCCCCTGTGACCGAGCCCAGGAGGCAGCTCTGACCTGTGGCTTGGCTTCAGCCAGGGCCCAGACGCCCCGGCCAGGGCTCGGTTTTCCTTCTTGATGGGTCCTTGGCATCCTCCTGGGTTCTGTGACTCACTGTCCTCCGTGGTGACCCCGTCAGCTGTCGGCCTCCCTTCCGATGGCCCAGAGTGCAGCAGACCCAGCTGGGACCCTTTCCCGGTTGCAAGCACAAGGTCTGGAAATTGTGTGAAGGGACCCATTGTCTGTCCTCAAGGCCACCGGGGCGGTGCGAGGTCTGGCCCGCCAGGCCTGGGCCCGGCTGGCTTCTGGAGCCAAGGACAGAACCTGCCCTGTGACGCGCGGGCTGGAAGCAGGCACAGCATTGTTGCCTGGAAGGAAAGCAGGGCTTTTCTTAGAAGAGGTGGCCATGGGGCAGACTGGCCACAGCTGTCCGCGTGGTCCAGTCCCACCTTGGGGTGTCGGCAAAACGGTGACAGGACCCCAGGGTCCAGGCCAGTCTCGTCAGCAGGGTGAGCACCGGGCGAAGGTTGGGAGCCCCTGCGCACGCTGGTTCCTGTTGGCTGAGGGGGCGTTCTCACCTTGCTGGTTGGAGGCTCTGGGCCCTTTTCTGCGCACTTGCCAAGGGGAGGAAACTGGAGTGGCTGCTGGCGGTGAAGGAGTGGGGCCGGTGGGGCCCCTGCCCGAGCTCCAGGCAGCACCCAGGGCTGGAGTCCCAGCTCCTCTGGTCTCTTCCCACCGGGTGCAGTCCTGGGGAGGCTGCTCTGGGCCTTCAGTGCGCAGAACGTCAGGTCTCCAACCTCAGTGTCCAGCTTAATGAGCTTTTAATCATAACAGCTTCACGAGCTTTTGGGGTACACAGGAAGATGTGATTTATTTAAAAAATGCAGTTTTGGGTGGACTCACTTAAAAGCAGTTAAACATCACTGAATTTGATGCTTAAACAGTCAGTTTGGGCACTTCCTGTGTCTCTGTGTCTCTTGGGGCCGGGAGCTCTTGGGGACCCAGGAGGGGCCTTGAGCTGGTGACTACACGCTGCCTGTCACACCTGTGCAGAGCTTGGGCACAGGAGTCGGAGCAGAGGGCATGCTGCTTTGGTGTTTAACATCATCGATAGCTTAGAATCTTTCTACGTTGGTCATTCCAGCGACATATTTTATCTTGAAGTAGAGTTTGGAAAATGCAGTGACACCTGTTCCTCCCCTGGTCACCGAGTCTCCGTTCAGACGCCGCTGTCCACAGACAACGTCGGTGAACCTCAGCGGTCGCTCATGTGACGTGAATCAAAGCTGGCAGGAAGTGTAGGAAGAACGTGTTGGCTGCTTCACTAGGCGGCTCTTGGCGCCCCTTTCCTGGCTTGGGTGCAGGGCTGGCTGTCCTGCTGATTTGATTGGTTTCTTTATTCTGGGCGCTGTCTCCTGTCTCCTCCAGGGGGTGGAGAAGTGGGGCAGGGGCCCCCAAAGAGCTTCCCCCGAGGACCTTGGTGGACGGCCTGCAGGTCTGTGTGGGAGCTTAACCAGCAATGGTTCCCTTTGCTGACCTTCGGGTGAAATGCCACTTGGGAAGAAAAAGCCTTATCAAGACCCAGCTGACATGAAAAAGGGGGCTCATGTGTCTGTGTGCACTTGGGTGAGTTTTGACATGTCCAGTCGTGTGAAGCCGTGGCCGCAATCAGGATAATGAAGCTGGCGGGCCCCCCGCGGCCGCGCCCCCGCGCTCCCGCCCGCCTTCTGCCTCGCTGGGCGTGATCGCATCTGTGTTCACCAGGGATTCTGGCCTTTGTTTTCCTTTCCTGGAATGTCTTTGTCTGGTCTGCGTATCAGGGCAGACCTTGCCTTGCAGAGAGGGTGCAGGGCCGCTGGTCCTGTCCGGCGTGGGGGGGCGGGGCTTAGCCCTCAGCCTCCAGCTGAGCCTCCCTGTGAGGCGCCTGGCTCGGGCTGCCTTCGTGAGCCGGTTCTAAGCTACCGCTGCAGGTTCTTCAGTAAACAGAGGGCTCTCCGGGTGGTTTCTTCCCACGTGAGCCTGGGTGGCGGTGCTTCCCGAGGAGCTGGCCGCGTCGCACAGGTGGTGGGGCTGTCGGCATCGTGAAGTGTTCCCCGGTATCTCCTTAGTGCCTGGGAATCTGCGTGCCACCAGGCCTCCTGTGCCTGATGTTAGAAATGTGTGTTTTCTCTCTCGTCTTTGCCTGGTCAGGCTGCCTGGAGGCTTCTCAGTTTGCCAAAACCCAGCTTTCGCGTTTGATCTTCCTCTTATTTTCCTGTTCTCTGTTTTGTTGGCTCTGCTCTGCTCTGGGTTGTTTGCTGTCTTCTGCTCTGGACTCGCTCTCTTCCCTCTCGCCTGCACACACAGGCCGGTGCTCTGCTGAGCGGTGCTTCGCGATCCTGCGCGTTCTCCACGGAGCATCCGGCCAGACACAGCATCGCCTTTTCTCTCAGGCGGTCCTGTGTTCACGCCCTCGTTTTCAGCCCTCAGAATGGCCAGCCGTGGGGGCACGCCCTGCTGACCGATGCGCAGTCAGGAAAGCCGTTGTTTTATGTTTGGTGCGCCTTTTGGTGGTTTCAGAGTAAGCCTGGCCCGCTCCCCCACCGCCCGTATCCCGTCTTATTCAGAAGTCCCCACTGTTTTGTTTTGTAATTTTGTAAAACCTTCGTTGAATTCTTCTGCAACTTTATAACAACGTGTGTTACAGAGCAAGTAATGAAGTGAAATAATGCATTCCCGTGCCCAAGTCTGGATTTTAAAACCTTAAAAATGATTCAACCCGCTGTTTCCATTTGCCTTGGGAGTGCTGTGTCGGTCAGGGGAATTTGACTTCAGCTGCTGCAATAAACAGTTGCAGAGTCTCCGTGGATTAAAATATGTGAGTTCCGGCCTCCCTCCCGCAGAATCCAGGGCAGGCGGCCTCACTGGGCAGCTGTCACTGAGGCTCCACTCCCAGCCAGGGTTCTGCCGACCACGGCCGGCGGGATGTGGCCTGTGTGGTGGGCTGTCTGCAGACAGCAGCGCGCTCCGTGCTGCGTCCACAGCGTCTGTGGCCACCTCCCAACTGGGAAAGCAGAACCAAGTGGTCGTGATGGCCGTAAGACTTCCTGCCCGGCTCCTCCAGGTAGTAGTGCTCTACCAGGGACCCGGGCTCCCAGGCTCTGTCCACCCTTCCAGGCTGTCACGGAAGCGGAAATGGGGAGTGAGCAAAAGGGGAGGCTCAGTGCTTCCACTGCCCTGAGGGACACATCACCTCTGCTCACATTGCCTGGTGGGTTCTGGTCACCTGTCCCCACCTGGATGCAAGGCTCTGGGGAGTGTTGTTTAGTGCCTGCTCAGGAAGGGAAACTGCATTTGAGCGTCTCACGGTTTCTGCCACAGCCGCGCTGGGCAGGCAGCACCGGATTGCCGGACTCCGTCCCAGCTGCCTTCGAAGTTCACTCTCCTCCTCTGCACTCCTCCCCAGACACTGCTGTCACATGTGGAGCGTCTCCGGGTCCCCTCACTGTGCCAATAGAGAGGTCTGCCGGGCATCTGCTGTCCATGCCCCGTGATGTGCGGCAGCGTCACCGCCCCAGTCCCCTCAGTTAAGGTCGCACTGCGGGCTGGGACGGGTGCCGTCACGGGTCGTAGAGCGGAGAAACCGAGTCCCCTCCTAACCAGAATTGGAGCCGCCCGTGCAGTTACCCGGGGAACGGGGGGCGGCCTTGCTGACTGTAACCTGTAGGTCACAGCCAGATGTCTCATGCACCAGGTGCTCACCTGAAGATTTTCTCTGAGGACGAGACAGATCTGGGTCTGTGTGCATGCCAGGTGGTGGCAGGAGCAGCGGGTGAGGCGGGGAGGGGCTGGGAGGAGAAGAGCCGGGGCCCTGAGTCCTCGGGGGGGGTCACTCCCCCGGGACCCGGCGTCAGCTGCACCCCTGAGGTTCGTCCTCGTGGTGTGACTTGCGCCTCCCTCCTGTGCTTCCCAAGTTGTTTGCAGGTCTGCAGGCTCTTTGAAAGTCAGCTCGCCGGCTTCTCTTGGGCCGCTCAGCGATCCGTCACTGCTGGCGGCGTTCAGTCGGATGCCCAGACGTGAGGCCGGCTGCCCTGCCGGGCGTTGCGCCGCCTGCCCTCCCACCCGCCGAGTGGCCTGTCCTGCTTGCTTCCCTTTACGACAAGTGCAGAAATGTTTCTGTGCACAGCGTGCGGCTCGTGGGAGAAAAATGCGAACTCACCAATGAAAACACCGAAATAAGTTACTCACATTTCTGCTGTGAGAGGAGCCCGGCCTGCTGAGCGTGGCCCTCAGGTGCACACGGACGGTCATGCGCGTGCTTGCGGGCATCCAGTCCCTGGTGGGTCTGCGGGTCTGTCGGCATCTGCGTCTCCATCCACCCGTCCATCCATCCATGCCTCGTCTGTGCGGCTGCGGGGTCCTGTGCACCCTCCATTGTCTCTCCGTCTGTCTGCGTGTTCTCTCTCTACCTACTTATCCGTCCACCGCCTCCGCCCCGTCTCCAGACGGCGGTTGGTCACCTGCGTCCCGCCCCCCCGTGCCCGCCGCCCGTGCCCCTCATCGGCGTCTGCACGTCACCGCTGGCGGCCACGCAGGATTTGTTCCGGGGCGTCGGCAGCTCTGCGGATCAGGTGTTTACGCTGGGCCACTCCTTCCTCTGCACTTTACTGCGCCGGCACCCGCGATGCCTGTGTGCGCGCTGTTCTGATCGTGCGCCTCGATCCCTTCGGGCTTCTGCCGCCTGCGGCGTGGCCTGCAGCGAGGACGGTCTGCTGGTGAGCTGCTCCTGCCCCGTTTGCTTCCTGGACACAGTCCGTGTTTACCTGAGGACAGGCGTCATCAGCCACTCACCTGCGCATTAGATGAGCTGCGTGTCCTGCAGGGGAGAAGGCTGCGTGGCGCCCCTCCGACACCTGCCCCTGGGGACGCCGTGCGCACCGCTTCCGTGCCCCGTAGCCGCACTCCTCTGGAGGCTCTGATCTCAGCCCGTCCTGGGAACCGCAGGGCTCTGGGTCGGCCCAGCCCCTGGCCCTGCACAGCCCTGTCTGTGTGCTGGTCCTGGCGGCTCCCGTCTGGCCTGTTTCTGGTGTGGCCTCTGCTCTGTGGTTAGCTGCTCCTCCTGGAACACTGGTCACCTTGTAGCCCCAGGATCTGCGTTGGGAGGAGCTGGAGCCCAAGTTTAAGGCTGATTCTCATTATTCACGGACTTCTGTTCTATTAAGTAACCATGAACACTGAGTTAGCAACCAGGGAAACCTTGCTTCTGGGAAATACAGGGTTAGGGTCCCACGCGGCACTGGTCACAACACTGTCGTCAGTGGGTCAGGGCATAACCTAGTTTGGGGTGTGCTCTGTTCAAAGATGTATGTTTTTGATTCATTAACGTGGAGCCCAGGGCACCAGCGCATGGCTTGTGCCTGGAGGAGGCGGGTCCCACACGCACGTGCTTCCCCGCAATGTCCTTCACACCCCACGCTTCCTCACCAGACCGCACGTCAGCACCGCCCTGGGAGGCGATTTTAAACAGCAAAGTCACCAACAAAAGGCCCCAAAACACAAACAACGTGGCACTAAGTAGAGCCTGAAAGGGACGCTTGTTTCCACATCCGGCAGTGAGGGTCCCCACCGCTCTGTGTCCCCGATGGCCACAAAGGCACCACGAGGGTCAGTTTGGGGGTAATGGGGAGGTTGAGCGAGGCTGTTATGTTCTCAGAGCTGGAATCCGTGGAGGGAGTGCGTCCCGTCTTCCAGGTTCCGTGCAGCGCTGGCTGCCTGCAAAGTCTGAGGCACTCACCCTGCGGCACCTCCTGGAGCTGGGGCCCCGCGGTTTCCTCGGTAAGAGCGGTTATAACAAGGCACTTAACATCTGAAGCAGGCTCTGCCCCATCTTCTCGGGTGCAAAGTGTCTTGCCTTTGAGGTTCTGTCAAGTTCACAGTCATTAAATTTCATCACCTGTAAGATGTCCCATCTCCTGGACCTGGAGCCGGAGCCGCTGAAGGCCACGGTGGGGGATGGGGGAGGCCGTCCTGGGCAGGACGCCCGTCGGACCGAGGTACCCAGAGCTCGTCCAGGGGGCTGCAGCTCAGCGTGGAGCCGGCCCCGAGCTTTCCTGACGTGCACCCGCGGGGTCAGGCGCTCCCCCTCGAAGCCTCACCCTCCAGCTGTGGAGATTTGCTGAGGCACGAGGAAGGGGATGTGTGTGCGATTCTGGTCGCAGAGCCCGCAGGGTGGGCGCTCTGGGGCGGAAGCTGTTTCATTACCACAATCTGGGTTTACTGAGCCTTGAGATTGGGCGTGGGCTGTGCCAGGGCAGTCGGGAGGGGAGCACGCTCCTTGCTGGGCTGGGAAGACAGCGGCTGGAGGCCTGGGTGGGGGGCGGCTGGGTTCCTCCCTCCTGGTGGCTGCAGGCAGGGGCTCCCGGGGCGGGGCTGTTCCCTTATCCTTCGCTCTGCCCTTAATTGAGCAGATACTTGAGATGCAAACAGGAAATACCGCTCAGCGTAGTTTTCAGTGCATTTTAGGTGGTCAGTTTTCTCTCCCACAGACCAAACCCGGATGTCCAAGAAGCGTCTATGTTCCTTTTGGGAGGCAGGCCTGGAAGGTGCCTTTCGTGGTCCTGGAATTGTGAGCTCCCACCCTTCCCTGCACGCCCAACGTTAATTATTTGCTAAGAATTAAGGACTTTAACAATGGAGATTTGGAGTTACTCTCACTGAAAGAAAAGCCTGGATTGGCAGAGATGGGACGATTTTGCCCTTGACAAGACTGGGTTAATAGCCTCCCTTTCTGTGCAGAAAACGAGAGGACCGCCGTGCGCGGAGAGCTCCTTCCTCAGGAGAAGCAGGACTGCAGACGGCGCGGGAGAGGAGGGGTTCACCCGCGGGATGGGGGCTCCGCGCATCTGAAGTCCTCGCTCAGTTCCTGCTTCTCTTCCTGCTCACGGCTTCCTCTGGGGGAAGGGAGCCCAGATTAGGCTCGTCGCTTCCTGGACTGAAACAATATTTCTAAAAATCCATAACCAGCTGAGCAGCACTTTAACTTTTAAAAATAGCAGTTAAAGTGGATGCAGTTAGTCATCACTGTTCCTTATTCAGAATGCGGGATGTTTGTGTTGGCATGGCAACAGGGGGCTAAATATTAACCCTGAGCATCTGTTTCTTGTGCGTTTTCTGTTGTTGTCTAGTTTCCTTAGATCAGTGCTTGTGTCACCCCATCCATCTACCCATCAGCCCTTTCTTCCATCTACCCGTCCACCCGCCCATCACTGCATCTTCTACCCTTTGATCCATAACCATCCATCTGTCCATGCTTCCATCTATCCGCCTATCCATTCGTCCATCTGTCCATCCATCCATTCCCTCATCCATCCATCCACCCATCCGGTCATGCATTCCTCCTTCCGTAACCACCCACCCACTCGCCACCCCTCCATCCGTCCACCCGCCCCCACCATGTGTTCCTCCCTCCGTCCCCCATCCGCCCTCCTGCGCCCTGGTGTCTTTGTTAAGTGTCCAGCACTGGGGCTGAGACCGGCAGACCCTCCTGCTGTGAGGCACCGGTGGCGTGGGGAGTGCTGCGTGGTGGGGTGTCGCTAGCTGACGCAGCCCTGTCCTGCGCCCGCCCACCCACTGTGGTTCAGAGTGGGGCTGGCAGTCCAGCTGGAGGGTTGGAGAAAGGACACAGCTTGGGGAGAACTTTCTCAGACTCCAGCCTCTCTTCTCCTAAGCTCAGAGAGCACTGGCTCTAAAACCAGCTCTCTGGTTCTTTCCTGAGAGACGCCTCCTTCTCATTCTTCAGTGGTTCCTCTGAGACCGGTGTCTCGCAGCCTTTCTCAGCTGGGCCCTGCGCGAAGGACGCCCAACAGAACACGAGCAGAGTGCTTGTCTCCTCTGTTCTTTCAAGGAGCCTGTCGAGCTGGTATCTGGATGCTGGAAATGACCCAGCTCGTTACATGCAGTGGGCGCTGCTTAAGGCTTCTCACTCTGTCACTGGGAAGGCCTGTGAGACCATAAGAAGTCTGAACATCGGTGCAAGGAGGGAGGACTGTCCCAGCTTCCCCACCAGGGAGTGGCCGGTGGGGCAGGGCGGGCTGGTAACGTGGGAGGGTGAAGAGGTCCCAGCAGGAAACCTTCAGGAGGGACCACCTTGGCTAAATAAGGTTTATCTTTTTTTCTTTTTAATGGAAGTACTGAGGATTGAACCCAGGACTTTGTGCACGCTAAGCATGTGCTGTACCACTGAGCTCTACCCTCTCCCTCCGTAAGGTTTATCTTTATTCCTATGTGGGGCTCCTTTTTGTGTCCCCTCCCTCGGAGCCTTTCCTGATGGTTCCCCTCTGACCCATCCCTTGCAAGCCCTTTGGGTTTGTCACTTGCCCCTCGCCTCCTTGTCCTGTGGTATTTTCTGGTTATGAGACAGTCTCATGCAGCTCTGTGCAGCGTCCTCTCACTCAGTAAGTAACTCGGGGTATGCGTCCTGTCTTCCTAAAGACGTGAGTTCTGTGTCTGTGGGAAGCTTCTCCGGTTAGATACTCTCAGAGCCTCTTGGGTGGAGAGTAACTATTTGATATCAGTATTTTTTGATTCCATTTGTGATCCATTTCCTCAGTGGAGGTAATTAAAACACAGCCTGACTTGAGGCTCTTAGAAAAGCAACAGGCAAAAGTCAGTCTGTTTTGGTGGCGCCCGAGCGCTGCTTCCCGGGCTGGGTTTGTGCTGAGGGGCTGGACTCCAGCTTGCCGCTTGGCTGAGTCCTGGACGAGTGCCAGTGGATAACATGATTTATCCGTTTATTTTGCTGAACTCAAAGCACGAGCCCTGTCTGTCTCTGCAAGAACAACCTCAACCCGTTCAGTTGTTCAAATTATAATATTTGTTGTAACAAGTAGGCTACTTCTCAGCACGCAGGGCTGTCTGTGATGGCTGGCTTTGTGTGTCAACTTGGCTGGGCCCCAGTGCCCAGAAATTTGGTCAGACATTGTTCTAGAAGTTTCTGTGAAGGTGTTTTTAGAGCAGATGAACGTGAAGTCAGGGTAAAACAGAGTGCCCTCCACAACGCAGGTGGGCCACATCCCACCAGTCGAAGGGCCCAGGGGAAGAGCAGGACGGGACGCAGCCGCGGACGGGGCGACCCCTGGACTGGACAGCGGCTCTTTCCTGGGTGTCCAGCCTGCAGGTTCACCCTGCAGATCTGGGACCTGCTGAGACTGCACAGTAAGTCTCTCCTTGAAGTAAATCAGCCTCTCCCTCTGTCTCTCTCCACACACAGACATGCTCACACATACACATGCTCACATGCACACACGGGCACATGCTCACATGCACACACACACGCTCACATGCACACATGCTCTCATGTATATGCTCACATGTACACACACACATGCTCACATGCTGTCATGTACACGCTCACATGTACACACACACGCTCACATGCACACGTGCTCTCATGTATATGCTCACATGTACACACGTGCACACATGCTCACATGCTGTCATGTACACGCTCTCATGTACACACACACGCTCACATGCTCACATGCACGTGCACGCTCACACATGTCCTGTTGGTTCTTTTTCTCAGGGGAACCCTGTCAGATGCAGGGTCCATGTCGAGTTTCCTGTGGCCTGGGTTCTCGGCCACAGCTGGCTGGATCTATGTGGATGCCAAGTCCAGAACAGTCAGTCCCAGTTCTGGCCAGTTTCCCAAGATCAGGCTTAGCTCGGACAGAAGTCTCTCTGGGGAAGAGGGGCTCGAAGACACTCAGGGACTGAACTTCAGGCTGGCAGTGGGGCTGAGACGGGCAGGCTGTGCTGCAGGGGGTCCAGGGGGCCAGAGGCCTGGGAGAGGCTCCACGCCCCGGGGGCAGCGGGGAGCGGAGGCCGTGCAGGAGGTGCCAGAGCACCTGGACGTCTGGCTGGGTGGACACGAAAGCACGTCTGGCCCGGGAGAGGGCCCCGCCGAGACAAGCCGGTGTCTGCAGCTGCCTCTGTTCCTGTTCGGGGCTGTTCTTGTTGAACGAGTTTTTATTCCTTGAGCCCAAAACTTGATTACTTTGTTTAAAATTATTTTTAAAAAGGAAAGGAAAAAACCCATCTTTTGGTTATGTCTGGTTACCTCAGTGAAACCATTCATTCACAATTTTTAAGGCATCAAGGAAAAGAAAAGCCCGTAGTTCTTGGGGCATGTACACCTTGTCTTCCCTGCACAGTTTCCTAATTTCCGTGTTGCGGATTCACTGCCCTTCCACAGGGAGGGCCTCTGCGCCCCCGCCCCACCCTGCACTCCCCCACCCTCCGCCGCCTCTTCTGTGCCTTCTCCTCTGTGCCGAGGTCACGCTGGTGCACACCAGACCGGCCTCAGCGGCTCCTGTGTGCCGCTCCCTGCTCACCCGAGCTGTCAGCCTCTGTGCACGCGGTCACCGTCCTGACTCACTGAGCACCTGGTTTCCAGGTGAGGCCCCTGCACAGCTGCAGGGCTGATGTCAGGGCCCCGCAGGTGGCAGGTCAGGGGTGGCGCCTGGAGCAGGCACGGTGTCTGAGTCAGTGTGGCGGCCAGTGCCTGGAGCGCGTGCAGGGCCCTGGAGAGACCCTCCAGCAGGGATTTCTCATCTCTGCTGGTCGTTCCTGCTCTGCGTGTGCAGCCGGCCTGCCGTCCTAATTCTGGGATCCCTCCTGCACGAGTCTCTCCTATAAATCGCCCCTTTCCCACATTGGCAGTTTCACCATCGGGGATGTGGGGAGTCTCCTGGGGCTGTTTTCCTGCAGGAATTTATGGATCCGGGGCTGGCGCGGGGGGTCCTTTCCTCTCTGATTCTGTCTCACCGGCCAGTCTCCTGCTCTGCTGGTCTCACCTCATGCAGCCCCCAGAGGAGAGGCAGTGGCACCACCCACTTGCTGTGGATGAGCAAACCGAGGATCAGAGAAGTCAAGGCATTTGTCCAGGATTGCACAGCTGGTGAGGAGCAGAGGAGGGAGTTGAACCCGGGCCTGCTCTGTGCTTCCCTGAGTGACATCCGCTACCTGCCGCCAGACTGGGACTGACAGACCTGCTCAGAGCACTTGTCGGGGTGACCCTGGCCTGGAGGGGGCGTGGCTGTGTGGACACACGTGTGCACACAAGTGTAAGGAGGGAGGGAAGTCTTCCAGGCAGTGTGGCGGCTTTGCGGAGGGGCGTGAGGCTCGTAGGGCCTGCTTAGGGCAGGACTCACGCCCCAGGCCCCGCTGTGCACACCGCAGGCTCTCGGGCACCACGGGAGCGGGAAGCCTGGAGACCCACCGGTGAGGCCCGCGGTGTCGCCCAGACTCCCCCGCACACGGTGCCCTGTCCTTCCCATGCAGGGCGGCTCACCTGTGCCGGGTCCCGCCTTGGCCACGGGAGGTTGTGGGCCGGCCCTTTGAGCGGAGGCAGTGCTGGGCTCCCACGGCCGCCGGGCTGGCGCGAGGCTGTTGTCTGAGGGCTGCTTTCTGGGCTGTTTCTAATCAGGCGGCCTCGCAGACACGCTGAGTCGGGCAGACTGGATTTCACGCTCGCCCAGGCTGCTGTTTTGGCGCCTCGTTTGCTGAGAGACAGGAGTGGGGCCCTTTCCCCTAATGATGCTGCTGTCCTCACCAGGCACCCCACGCCGTGGCTTCCGGGGGCGAAATGGAAAGGCCTTGGGAAAAGTCTTCAGTCCCAGTTCCTGGGATCACCGGGGCACAGGCAGGGCTGGGGTTGGCTGCCAGCCCCCCGGACAGTCACGGTCTGGTCCCGTGGACACCTGCGAGGCCGAGACCCGGCCTGGGAGATGCCCATGCTTGGGCACCGTGTTACGGTGACCACACGGAAGCCGGCCCTTGGGGCTGAGGTTGGTGGGGCCCTACAAGCTCACACGAGCTCCGGCTCACATCCCCTCTGGGCCCAGGGCTGCCACTGTGGTCTACGTCCCCGGACCTTGGACGGTCCCTTCGCTGCTCTGACCTCCCAGCCCCCTCGCCCTTGCTGGTGCCAGCCCCCAGGCTGGAGCCGCGCGCTGCGTCCACGGCTGCGTGAGGCTGAGGTGGCCTTGCCCTAAAGTCATAGTTTCTTGGCGCCCCTGAGGGACTCCTGCGCTGAGACCCTCTGAGTGTGGGGGCTGCACGACCCAGAGATGGTCCCCTGACACAGGCCTGACACACTCAGTGCCTGGTGGGGAGATCCCTGGGCCGTGTGTGACGATCACCACGGAGGTGAGGGTTCCTGGGTCACTGTGCATGCGCGTGGCCTCTTCTCCCTCTGCGACCGTGCCCGGGGGCGTGGGGGCTGTCATCGGTGTATGGAGCAGTCCCCCCTGCTCGGCGAGCTCTGCTCCTCCGGATGAACACTGTTCGGGCGCTCCTGGGGCGAGGAGGGTGTCTGCAGCCCCCGTGCGCTGCGCCCACTTCCTGGGGAGTTTCCAGAAGATCCTTGTTTGTTGGGGAAGCCCGGAAGCCCTGGTGGTGACAGATGACCGGGCGGCAC